AAAGATACCGCTGATGCTTTTACTACCTCATCAAATAGTAAGATGTTTGTTATTGCTGTACCATCTTACTCCAAGATTTCTCATAGACATGCTATATGGATGCTGCCCGTATTGCTGGTCTAATTGTCTACGAGTTATGAATGATTCAACAGCAACTGCATTGGCTTATGGTATATATCGATCTAATGAGTTCAGTGATAATACTCCAACAATAGTAGCATTCACATCTGTTGGTGCATCTCATTTTGGTACATCTATCGTTAAGTTTACTAAAGGTCATCTTACTGTACTTGGTGAGGCTATTGATACTACTGTTGGTGGTCGATATATTGATAAGATCCTAATGGAGCATTATAGTCAACAGTTTACTACTAAAACTGGTTTAGATCCCCTTAAGAATGCTAAATCTAGATTTAAGTTGGAAGAGGCTGTTAATAAGGTTAAGAAGATATTATCAGCCAATAATGAGGCCGTATTAGGGATTGAATGCTTGTTGGAGGATGAGGATCTGGTAAGATAATAATAACAATAATCATATTATTATCATGTCATTGTTTTAGAATGTAGTCGTGACTCGTGATAAGCTCGAGGAACTATGTGCTCCGATGGTTGATAAGATGCAGTCTGTGATGAATAAGGCATTGAAGGAAGCTAACATTACTATTGATGATTTACATTCAGTAGAGATCATTGGTGGTGTATCTAGAGTACCATTCATACAACGTACTATTGTTGATACTCTACATAAGGACTTATCTCGTACTCTTAATGCTGATGAGTGTGTAGCACGAGGATGCGCATTACAAGCAGCTATGTTATCACCCCTATTCAAGGTTAGGTAATATACATCATGTAACATCATCATCATCAGGCTACCTCATCGTTTTTAGGGACTTTGCCGTTACTGATTTTACTCAACAAGGCATTGAGGTAGCCTGGCAGCAGCAACAGCAGGCAACATCTACTACTAATAATGATGATGTTGAAGATGTTCTTCTATCATCAAGAGGACTGAGTCTTCCCACCAGATCTACACTAATACGTTAGATGCTTACCTTCTATCGTAAGGA